ATGTAAAGGTACAATTCCCAATGAGAAATGTAATTATGTTGTATACCTACAATGTACCAATAAAATAATTTAATTAAAAAAAAAAGAAAGAAAACTTTTCTGGTGGATGTATGAGAAGGAACGGGATCAAGTACAATTGCCAGACTTTTGGCCTGAGTAAATGGAAGCATAGAGCAGCTGTCAACAGAGATTCAGAGACTAAATTAGTGTGAAAATCTGTTTCCTGGCTAGGAGCATGATAGGAAACTCTGTTGGGCCTTCTTGTGGAGGTCTCAGGTAAACAGTTGGAGTTGGGGGAAAGGTCTATGTTGGAAGCATAAATGCAGCAGTTAATGGCATATAAATAGCAGCATTTAAAACTCTGAGGTTAAACATGAGAATGTACAAAAACTGTGAGGATAGAGTCTGAAGCACTCAAGTATTAGGGTGGAGGAAGAGAAATGGGTAAGACAAAAGAGTACGATGTCCTGGCAGCCCTACCTCCTCCTCTAATTTCTACTCATCTTTCAGATCCCTGAATCTCCATATCTTCTCCCCTAGAGTTGGTTAGGTGTCCTTCCTAAGTGTCCTGCAAAATTATGCTCTTACTACTCTCTCAGCATTTAGGCTCATCTTCTTGTAAATTGCAAACTTTTTGAGAGAAGGAATCAAGATTTTCTTGATCACAGAGTAGTTCCAGAAATAACCATAGAGCTTAGCACATAATAGCTGTTGAACATAAGGTGGGGGACTGAATTAGTAAAATCAGATCCTCTCCTCTGATACAGACTGTGGTACTAGTGTGATAGTGAGTCTATGGTTACCCAAGGCAACCGTACCACACACACATTTATTTCATTATATTTATTTCTCATTACATGTATTTTTCTTAGTATTTGTTTTTCCACAGGGAGTTTTCCAGCTTTAACTAGTTGATGTGTATCACCGTTTTGACTTAGATAAAGGAGGAGGGAGGAGGAATACCAAGTATGCCTTTCATACATTACCTTAAGTTTCTTCATCACAAACTTGGGAAGAAAAGTTTAATTTGTTCCATTTTATAAGAAGAAACTGAGCTTTAGAAATGATAGGGAACTTGTGTAAGGTCATACAGATGGTAATAGGACTTCAGTACCTATAAAGCCCTTGTGTGTGCATGTGTGTATAGACGAGGGCTTTATAAGATGTGTTGTCCATGAGTGAGAAACATACAGTTGTATATACATGCATCAAATACTGTCAAAGCAAAATAAAATAACAATACAATTATTTTAAAAAATATATTATGTTACTTACAGGAAAGTATAGTAGCAGAGACCCAAAAAGGATTGTTTCCAGCAGGATAAGGCCAGATGCCCGGATGCTCTAAAAAATAAAATGAAAATGTCATTGTTAACTTACATTTCTAGGCCCAGAAAAACTTATGCTATAGTGAAAAACGTCTCAACCATTAGAAAAGCATTCTTTAGGGGAACTGGTGAACAAATAATGATTGGCTAGAGTTCAGGTGAATAAACAAGTGAAACACCCACAAACACTAGCTGTAAAGGTGATGACAGACTTTGTTGCTACCAGGAACAGAGTTCTCTAAAATGGTGAATCACTTAATAGTTTGAGCAGCTGAGAATATTACCTTGAAGATTTTTTCAGTCCAAGAAACTCACATACATAGAAGATCTTGTCTGTATTTCTGGGCCATCACCCACAAATGCATATTGAATGCTACACCTAAACCATTTCACAAAACTCACAGGAAAGCTTTCTGGACAAAACAAACCGGAGTGCTGGAGTCTCCGTGATACATCTCCTCCCACGCTAAAATATCTAAGTGCTTTCCCAAGCTCATTGACACAGCTCCACTATGTGCATATGAATCACATCAAATAACAGAGTACCTTGCCTTGTGAACATACTTAAAGGTTATTCCTCAGTCAAAAGCCAAGAGATTAAATTGATTTTCAAAAACTTTCCAGAATATTTGGTGTGTTAAGTGCAAATATATTTAGTAACCTTAAGATATTTTGTTAGATTCAAAATACCATCTTCTTGTAACAAAATGCTGAGTTGAGGCAAGAAATAAAAGACAAAAAAATCGATCTTAGTTTTGTTTCAGTAAGTTGAAGTATTAATATTATTAAAGTAAATAAATTAATAATACAAACATAAAACAGGTCATTCTAGGATCTCTGTGTTTTTATTAACTACAACATAAAATGTACACACAAACCGCAACTAGCAAAGTGTTATTTAACATGAAATTGTTTGTAGTAATAGCAGTTTTGTAATAACAAAAAGATGCTACAAAGCTAAACTACATGAATGCACTATATTAAAAATAAATGTATAACTGGATACCCAGAGAAAGTTCCAATTTCTCTTCTAAACCCTCCGAGAGTGTTAAACACATAGAAACACTTTATGTAACCATCCAAAGGAACCCAGGGCTTTTATTATAGCAAGAATATGGGAATGAGAAACAAGTTCAGTTAATGAACAGACTTGATTATTTAAGTGACTTCTTAATATTGGTTATTATTTAAGCTAGCAGATGTTTTAGTGAAAAGAAAATTTTTATCAGCACGTGTTTAAATGCATTTGGCTGGTAGAATTTCTAAAATGGCAAAATGTATTTGCAAAGCATACCTAATTATGAACACTCTATAGTTTATCTTTTAAACTTTCCATTAAAAAAGCCACTAAAACTGAGAATCTAAAATATTATACAAAACTTGTAAAATAATCTATACAACGTTGACTGAAAAAAGGGACATGAAAAGGAGATGGAGCGCAGTGGAAAAGGCAGACTTCGGAGGTAGCCCCTTGTCAGCATGAACTATGAAGCAAGCACTGTGAGTCAGACAACATTGTACACTGATGGTTTCACCCATAGAATGAGCATCCTCCTATTTATCTTATTGAATCTTTCAGATTTACTAAACACCAAGTATAGAAAATGGTGATTATTGTGCCTAATACTCAACAAGCACACAGTTTTCAAACCAGGAAGCAGCACCAGGATCATGAATGTGAAAGCTACAAAGGCATGTACAGCTAGAAGTCAAAATTAGTTTTATTCTCGGGATCCAAAAGAAGCACAAGGCCTGTTTCCATTTTGTGAATAGGGAAGGGAGAAGGGGCTGGGAGAAAAAGAGGAATCAAGATATACCATGTACAGGTACAAATTCCCTCTGATGAATGTGACTGTTATGTATATTTAAATTGTCCCAATAAAATTAATTTTAAAAAAAGAAGAAGGCAAAGGCCTGGGGATAGGAGACCCAGAAGTTCTTTCTCTGGACTACGCACCTGCTTCAGTTTGGTACTTCTTTGGTTCCGCAATACCTTTTGATAGTTTTAGGGCCGGTAGGCTCCATGGCTATGTGACAGCCAGCATTACCACATAACTGCAGCAGTAGTAGTATATGCTTTTATATATTTTCAAAAAAAATAAGCTGCCTACTTTTTGCTGTGAACGCTTCTTAACACTTGCTTGGCTCATAATTTTATTTCTTAACTTGGAACTCTAACAAGTGGTTCCATGATCACATGTAAGGTGGTTATAAAAGTGCACTTTTTCCTTCCAAAGTCGTCTTTGGTGGAAACGCTTTCTGGCCTCACTGGTGGGCAAGAGCGTCATAAGTGGTCCTGCAAGAAGGCTCCATGCTCCCTGAACAGTTTCCCCAGGGTCTTGCTGGTCCTAGAGTTATGTTCACTGGAACAGTCTTTTGTTTTCTGCTTGGTGCCAAGGATCGGTATACAGTTGCTATAAGTCATACACTGATTTAAGTTTAAAGTGAGAGGGAAGGAGTTGTACGGGAGAAGAGAGGGCTTGGAAAATGTGACGGACGAGAGGGCTAATGAGTAAAATAATAGAGGTGAGGAGAAGAATTTCAACTCTTAGAGTTTTGCCTGAGATAGAAATGGTATGGAACTTGAAAAACCTACTCAAGAGAGGATCAGCAATCTATACTATGTATTATATTATTTATATAAAAACATATGTAAAATAAAACTACATATTGTTCATCTGTGTGTATAAACACAGGTCTAGAAAATACATATGAAGCTAGTAACAATGATTTCTCCTGGAAGAGAGAATATTTTTGAATACAGATCAATTAACCTGAAAATGTTTTAATTTATTTGAAGCAGATATATTCATACATTGCTCAGCAATATACTTTTAAATAAATAAATAAAATTAAAGAAAAACTAAGATATATCAACAAACTATTACAAAATTCTACCATTGTGTATTATAATATACAAAAGAGGTCTAACAAAGCTTTCCTTAACTAGTATCCACCTTGTAAATTTTTATTTAGCACCTATCACCTGGATAAAATTATTAGATGATACTTATATGTAAACACAGAGCTGATGGAGTTAGAATTAACCCTAACTCTCTGGTTTAGAATCCACAGGGACTAATAAATACAACTTCAGAATTTTGTGATAGAGGTGAGTATATTCTACCTACTCCATTCCCATTCCACAGTCTCCACATCTGCAGACCACAGAAAGGGCTAAACACATTATATTAATTGTACAATATTTAATTTTATAAAATTATGTCACACTCAATTTCTAAATCCCATAAACCTTGGGTGTAAAGTGGAAAGGCATAAGATGAAGTACTGTTGCAGTTGCCATGAAATTTCCCTAGGATATAACTGCACTGAGAAAGCCAAGTCAGTGGAAGGGAAAAGAAATAAGAATGTTGACAGTTGAATTTTAAAAAATAATTAGAATTGTTTATTACTATTTCCCTGATCCTACAGGGACTAACTGCTTCATTTATAATTTTTAAACATTATCAACCTCTGCGGAAATTAAGATACATCTTGCTAAAACAATGCAGGTGTTTTTGATCATTTCGAATTTCTTCATCCTTGCAACATTTAAATCTTTCTAGTATTGAAGAAACTTCTGAACATGAAGTCATTTTTATACAGATGGACCTGAGAATCTATGATAAAAGTATGAGACAGCAGTAGGATTCTATTTTGAAAGGGATGAACTAGCATAGATGCAGATGATAAACCAAGATTCCACATCTTTGTCATTTACAAAAAGAATTAGCAAGGCTACCAGGAACCAGACTCATGAAATATTCTTTCTCGTTTATTTCTGTTTCTATAGAGAAATCCATGGACAAAGAAACTTCCTATGAAACCTGCCAAATATCTGACATAATTGTATAATAAAGATTTTTTAAAAGATGTAAAAATGATGCTAAAAAATTCTCAACATTAAGAAATATAGGGATACCATTTTTCAATAATTTTAATAATTATTTAAAGGAATGAGAATAGGCTACATATAGTTTGAAAGTCTGCATGCAGTCCATTTGTCCTAAGACCTGCAATGACATACTGAAAACTCCATTGGGGTTAGAGAAATTTGACAAAAAAACTTTGCCCAAAATGTGGTTAGTTAAAGTCAATTTTAGTTTTTCAAGAGAATTCTTAGGGGGAAAAAAGGCATAAAAAAGCCAAGAGATATGGCCAGGACAGAGACTCTTAAAGGGAAATACAGTGGACCCTCGAGTTTCAACTGACCTAACATACAAACAACTTAGATTATGACTGGAATTTTTGTTTTACCTTACAACCAGAGTCTTGAGTTATGACCCGAATGCTGGCTGCTTGTTCTTCAGAGAGTCTCAGATACACCCTTAAAGAGCTCTGGAAGGAAGAATACAACACCCTTTCCTGTGTGGGGTTAACTGAGAAATCCTGGGCCAATGTCTCTCTAAGGACGCTGAGATCTGCTATGTACAGGAGAAAGACTGTGAGAGCAGTGTAGCAGAGCCTGAGCCTTCAGTTGACAGCTTGAGTTACAACCAGCCCTCCGAATGAGTTGAGTTTGTAAGTCAAGGGTCCACTGATAAGTAATTCATAGAATTATAAATTCATAGACTCAACCACACAGACTTTATAAATGGATAGTTTGAAATTTGTTGTGTATTAATTGTGTGACCTTGGGTGACCTGCTTATCTTTCTGAAATTCAGTCTCTTCACTTAGAAAATAGGTGTACTAATGCCCAGTTGTGATGCTGCTATAAAGATTAGCAATAAAGCTGCAGTGCACGGAGCAGTGATCTCTCAGCAGTCGCTCCTCATGAATTTTTCACGTGCAGACAGGGAAATGAAGTCAGCAGAGCAGAGCTCACTCAGCTGCTGAGGGCCAGACTCCGGAAGACTACCTTCTTCTGTAGCTGCTGGTTCTCAAGTTCACGCTATTTCCCCCGCACATCTGACCCTCAGTAACTTTTCTTACCCAAAATAAAAAGAATAGGACAACAATAAAAAAAAAACCACAATAAAAAACATGTAACACTACCAAAGTTTTTAAATATAAA